AGCTTCTTCCCACCCCACAGCAGTGACTTTGGTGATTCCAAGAGTTTGTGGAGGATTTTGGATTGTCAAAGGAGGAGAACCATTAATTCTAATTATTTCTAATCCAAAGAATCCCAAACCTAACCATTTCTAATCCAAAGAACCCCAAACTCGAACGTTTATTTCTAATCCAAAGAATCCCAAACCTGACCATTTCTAATCCCAAGAACCCAAACCTGAACCTTTATTTCTAATCCAAGGAATGGAAAGAGGCAAAGGAATGTTGGCAGTGGGGATCCTTTCAGTTCTCAAGAGATGCTGAAGGAAGGGAAAAATTGATTTGAACATGAAACACCTCCCTTAAAAAGCAGCATTCCTGCAGAATCCTGTCCTGATCCCAGGCATGGAAGGGTTTACAAAGGGATCTGTGGGATTCTGACTCTGAATTTAAAAAGATTTGAGGGCCTCACATGATTTTATGTTAAAAACACAAATAGAGGGTGACAGTTATTCCATGGGCACTCAACTGTGCTTTTATACTGCACCAGAAACTTGTAGAAATCAGTTAAAATTTGTATTTTAAACTACAGCATGTAATTCACCTTATAAACTTTTTCAAACCTCAAATAAGCCAAATTAAGCACAAAAAATTGACAACATAAACTGAGAAATAAAGAATGCATGCTTCAATTTTAATTTTTTTCTAAATTTGACTTCAGTTGGTTTATCTTTTTACCTGAAAAACACTGCAAGTGCACGTGAACTTCCTTAAAAGAACTGAAATGCATTTTACATTCACTGCTGTGGTTAAAATGCCTTCCCCGGGTTGAAAGAATTCAGATAATTTGTTTCAGAAAGAGATAAGGGTCTGACATTTCACCCAGCCCCAGGTGCATGTGGTTTCTTCAAAAATGTCACAAGGTCACATGGGCACAATCTATGAAGTCTGAAAAACAAAATTTAGCTGAGGATCTTCAGTGAAATGGCACCAAATCCTCAGGGTGGGACTGAGACTGCTGTCTAAAAATACTGCAATATTTTAATTTGAATTTTTTTTTTAAATCTTATTCAAATGCAACATTTTAATAAATTACATATAACACTCTTAACAAACCATCCCTGCCAGATTTAGGGTCCGTAATTTAAATACATTTCAGAATAACCCAAATGAACAAGTCCTGATGGAACTTTCAGCAAATGAACTCACCTTGCTGAGCTAAAGTGGATCTCAGCATTCCAGTTTTAGACCAGATTTTCACTTGGCCATCTTCCCCAACTGAAAACGAGCAGAGAAATCAGCAAATTCAATGCAATAATCAGTCTAAGAAAATGTATTTGTATTTACTCAGGAAACACATGGTTTAAAATAAATCCAGATTTTCTTCCAGGTAAATTCCTTTTATTCAGTCTTCCAAACATGCAGTAGGAAGTTTATGAAGGAAAAATATTTAGGATGGTTCTTTTGTTGCAATCAACAAGTTTTCCATTCCTGAAAATCCCTGAAGTCTTATGTGAAGCTGCTCCTTCATTATTTATTTATTACTATAAATTAGTATTATTATTTATTAGTCAATCATTACTTAAGTATCCAAAATTCTGTATTTTTGGCTCATTCAGTGGCCCAGAGGCCGCTTGAAGGAGTCTGGGGAGCCCCAAGGGAGCAGAGCAGATTTGATGGATTCAAGTGGAGGTTTCACAGTTGATAAATGGTGAGAGTGAAGATAACTCTGTTTGGATGGCCTCAGTTTTCTACCAGAGCTGTGTGTTACCAAATCACTCCGTTTATTTATTGAAGATTAAGTTGTTAAACACCACCAGCACAATCAGGGCTGTACTAACAGCACAGATTTCCTGCCGTGTTGTCACTTTTAAAATGTCTGGCCCTTCAATTTAGGCCTCCCAGATTCAAAAAAATGAGGAGAAAGGTGCACCTAGAACTTAATGGATTCTTCCATTCAAAGCTAATTTAAATACCACATTTCAGGCTTTTATATCTGGTCAAGGCGGCTTTTAAATGGTAAAAAAAAAAATTAAAAATACTAAAAAAAACCCATTAAAATTAAAACCCTTATTTGTGCAAATTGATGCTGTTGAAATATAGCCATAACTGTATTTGAAGTGATGCAGTAGCAATGATTTATTTACAGCAATGATTTATTTCTTCTTCCTGAAAGTTCAGTCATGGTACAAGAGCAGTTGATGTTCTGAGTAAACTGGAAGTGCTGATGAATTCCCACACTCCCCAAAAGTGTCAGTGTCATGCAGGCTCATAAAAAAAAAAGGAGATTCAAAAGACAGTTTTGACTGTGTCTTTGGAAAAGTTCCTGAGGCAAAGCTGTCTTTAAAAAGAACAATATTTCCGTCCTCGTGGGATTTCAGAGGAACAGGCCAGACAGAGTTCCTTGAAGCAGCGTTTGAGAGTCTGGAAATGAGCAGATCCCAAATTATCTTCAGTTCTTGTGGCCTGAGCTGGAGTTGGGCCAGGGGAATCAGCTGTGCTCCATCAGCAGGAGGCTGCAGAGGAGTCTGACTCCAGCACAGGCAATTTCAGCAGCTCCCCTCAACACCAACAGAGAATTTTGGCAAAAAACCCGCCAAAAACTACAAGATTTAGGGCAAAAAAGATATAGAGAGAAGCAGGAATTGCTGCATCACTCTGCCAGCATCAACATAGACAGGCTGCAGGTGATAATTGGTGATAATTAAGGAATAAAAGCACAGGACTATTCAAGATCAACAAGGCCTCAGTAAATTTAGTTGGCTAAAAAACCCCAAAGGTGCAGGGATATTATATCTGATTTAACAACCTTTTCTTGCAACAGTTAAAAAAAATAAATAAAATATTCTCCTTTCTAAAGTTCAGAACAGCCACAAAACCATCTGAGCACTCTGATATTAAAACATTTATTTTCAAGTAAATAGGATGACATAAACTAAAAAAGAGAAATACTTTCACTAGATCTTCTGTTAATTAAAATACACAATATTAAGCCAAAATAGCATTAATGAAATAGTGCAAAATTAACGCCTATTAAGCAAGGTGATAACAACCTCAGTGATAATTAAGGGATAAAATAGTAGATTAATCTTTTCATTTTCAAACTCCCTCATTAATACAGGAATGCTCACCTGTAACCAGGGCTGTTCCCTCATAATTCCACCTTCCTGCCAGTACAGCTCCATTGTGTGCTTCCACACTTTTCTCCACTCTTCCTGATTTGGAAATCAAGTGGAATTTTCCTAAACGAGAGATACAGAGTGTATAATTAATACAATTATAGATGATCAATTATATATTAAATTATGCATTACATTATTAATTACATTACATATTATTACAGCAATGCTGTTACCTTCTGTTAAAAACACAAAACAAGAAAATAACAATACAAAGAAAACACCAAATTGTTTTTCATAGCTAAAATCAGAACTATTCCTGCTTCCATGATGGAGCTGGGGTAGAAATCCACAGCAGCCAAACCCAAAGTTATTAATGATTGCAACAGAAGGATGAGGAAGTTTTTCTTCCCAAATAAGGGATGCTGCTTAAATCCAGGAAGATCAAATTTAAACTGGAGCAAAGAGCAGACAATGGAGGCCTTGGAAAAAATGAACAGTCCAGTGATTCAAATGAATTACTTTAAAATCAAATTATTTTAGTATTATTTGATCTAAGCTGCCAAACTCAACCACTACAAGCAAGTTCCTGAGTGACCAGAACTTTTGGCAAAATCATCCCACTAAGTCTCTGCCAATGCAAGATTTCTAAGGAAAAGGTTTTTGACACTGATGAAAAAGTATGGTTTGGATAAATCAGTTTATCTGAACAGACTGTTTAAAATATTATGGAATTCCAGACTGGTTTGGGTTGGAGGGACCTCAAAGCTCATCATATTCCACAGCCCTGCCATCAGCAGGGACACCTCCCATAGATCAGACTGCTCCAACACCTCCAGGGTGTTCATTTAATGTATTCCACTGTTTTAGAACTATAAAATAAAATTCATCTCATTAATATATCACTTATTTTATAGAATATCTCTCAGGTCTGAGATTCTCCTTTGTTACGTGTAAGCACTAACTGGATTCAGAGGGAAAAAAATTCCAGCTTTTTTGGGGAGAAGGGAAAAACCACACCCCAAGCAATCCTCCAAGCTTCTTGCTCCCCAAATAATGTCTCCTGTGCTTGACTGGCACGAGCACTAAGGGGTGTAAAATGATAAATATTTTAAATTGCCTCACCATCAGAACTAGTCAGAACAAAGCTCTCGGCCTGGGATTGCTTCTTCCCACCAATCCCTCGGGGGAACCAGTGCAGATCGATGGGATAAACATCATCTGGAAGCTTCACCACTCGAGTGGTCTCGCTGGTCACAGGGTTCCATTTCATGATCTGGTGATCATCGCTGCACGAGTAGAGCTCATCAGCTGTGGTCCATCCCACACAGCTCACCAATTCCTTATGTTTCATTCCGTTAAGGAATCTGCAAAGTTCAACTATTAAAAATTAGCTCACAAAATATCCCATCTCAGCTATGCAGAACTGAAGGGACAATACAGGAAGATTATATTGACAAGTTTCCATGGAATATTTTACATTAACAAAATATTATTCTTCAGGTTTTTGCCCTTTTATGCCTAGAAGAGCAGGTAGAAATCCAGCCAAAAATACAGCAAATTATCATGTAAAAAGATAATTTTTATTACAATGTAAAGTTATTGAAACATGGATAAAATGCTGGGTTAATGAAGGGTCTGTCTTAGTGCAAAATACAAGTGCAAAACATCCAACTATCATCCCAAAGTGCTAGTTTAGTAACACCACATCATATAGAAGTGTTCAATATCTCTTAAAACACTGTCCTGAAAGGCACTCAGTGACAAGGTGAATAAAGGAAGAAGAAAGAAAAAAAACACCTACAACTTATTAATATTTAACTGTAACTTCAACAATAAAGAGATACTTTCTGAAGAGTTTATTCAGAATGAACATGATGTTGTGTGCTTTTTCTGTGACAAAGGATATGTTTTGGTTCCTTTAAAAGGGAAGTCTTCAGTCTCATCTCAGTTGTTCCGATGGAGCATTAGAACCATAAAACTGTAATAAACATACATAAACATATAATTCACATAATATATATGCATATATAAGCAGCCAAAATGAAAAAGGAAGACACACTGTAACAAAAAGCTCTGAAGTAATTTTATATTAGCACTGAGCAATAATAAGAACCAGAATAGACCTGAGTTTAAAGTGCATTCTGTTTTCACATTATCCAACTGAATATGGAAAACTTAAAGAAAAAAGTGATGCTGGGAACTAAGAATCTTTGAATTATTAAGGTTGGAAAAGACCTTTAAGATCTTAAAGATGAAATATCAGAGCTTGGAGCACTGGAGTTCCCTTGTGCTGACACACAACCAGGAAGGGAAAACCTGGTATTTTCCTTTCAAAGCCCCGAACTTTATTGTGATTTTTAATACGATTTAATAGCTCTGTATGTGCCGCTAAAAGATTGAACGCCGCTATTGAACGCTACATCCATCCCTACCCATCCCTACTCCAACTCCCAAGGAATCCAGCAGCGGTTCCGCTGGAATTTTAGGAGAGATGGGGTAATAACCAGGAGTTATCCCGACTCAGAGAGGCCGAAGTACCTCATTTCTCTCCCTTTCCCATCCGGAGCTGCTGCCCAGGGGATGAGGATCAGGAATTCGGAGGAAATGGAGCAGGAGCGGGATGTGAACAGCAGGGAATGCCAGGGAGCGGGACAACGGAGCTCAGAGAAGGAAACCAGAGGGAAGGACGAGGGAGCACCGGGAAGGAAAACTAGAGGGCAGGATAGGGAAAGCAACGGGAAGCAAGAAGGCGGGATGGGGGCAGCGCAGGGAAGGGGAAACAGCGACAGGACGGGGGCCGGGGAAGGAATCACAGCAGGATGGGGGAACGCTGAGAAGGAAAAGGATCCAGCGGGATCGGGGGCACCGGGAAGGAGACACCGAACCCTCGGGGCAGCCTCGGCCCCCATTCGGCCGTGCCAACACCCGCTCTTGAGTTTCCAGCTTCCCAAGCAGGAGATGATCCAACCCCCGCTCAATCCAGGGCCGCCAGGAGCCAGCGGTCCCCCGCTCCCAGCTGTCCCCCGGAGCTCTCCCTTCCCTCCCTCCCTCCATCCGTCCRTCCCACGCCCGGCCGGGGGTCACGGCTCCCGACCCCCTCGCCCACCGCGGCCGTGACTCAGCCCAGGGGAGGGGGACAGCGGCCGCCGCCTCCCCAGCGCGCCTTTACCTGCGCGGGCAGCGGAGAGAACGCGCAGAGCGGCGGCCGGAGCCCGCTCCAGGCGGAGCCCAGGGTGATCCCGCTCCAGGCGAAGCCAAGGAGGATCCCGCTCCCGGTGGAGCCCAGGGTGATCCTGCTACCGGCGGATCCCGCTCCCGGTGGAGCCCAGGGTGATCCTGCTACCGGCGGATCCCGCTCCCGGTGGAGCCCAGGGTGATCCCGCTCCCGGTGGAGCCCGCTTCTGGCGGATCCCGCTCCCAGCGGATCCCGGTCCCGGTGGAGCCCAGGGTGATCGCGCTCCCGGTGGATCCCGCTCCGGGGAGGATTCCGCTCCCGGTGGATCCCGGTCCCAGCGGAGCCCGGGACGCTCCCGCTCCCAGTGGATCTCGCTCCCAGCGGATCCCGCTCCCGGCGGAGCCCGGGATGCTCCCGTTCCCTGTGGATCCCGGGCTGATCCCGCCACTCTCTCCCGTCCCCACAGGAGCAGCAGGACCCACTCCCCCCTCGATCAAGCGCCGCCGTCTCTATGGCGA